TCAAAACAATGAAATCTAAAATCACCACATATTTAGGTTCCCTTTAACTTTGTCTAGGGTAAGAACATAGAATATCAAATGGAAAATAAATTTTAAAAAAAGAAATAAAAATATGCTCTCTAATTATGGTATAAAAAACAATAAATAAAATTAGTACCTGAATCCCTCAGGGATTTTATATAATGGATTTAGAAACATAAATATGTGCCCTTGTAATGAAAGGAGAGTGGCCTGGCTGGTAGCTCTTCCTCTTGCTAAATCCAAAAGGAAAACTAAATTGCCCTCTGAAAAAAGACAAGCCTCTAAGAAAGCTTCCTGAAGAAGTCCTCACATAGTCTTGAATAGTTTTTAAGTATAGCTTCAGTTAAGATGCTCTAACAATTTTTTCCCTAAAGATTAAGGATATTAATCCTATATTGCCTATTAATCAGTTTTTAAAAGTATTATTTGCATCAAAATTTGGTTCCATGTACCTACTCTGGACTTTGTGGAACATGGCCTTCACTTTTAAAGCCAAATTCTTTGTACTATAAATTTGCCAGCATTTATTTAGTCATCATTATAACCACTCTTTCTAGATTTCTCATGATTCCAGTTTACCCTTTATTAAAGAAAATTGCAGAGAAAAATAAAGTAATCAAATAGAAAGAACTGGGCTCATAGGGAGTTAAAATCCTCGTTATTCTTTGCTTCCTTGTTATATAGCCTTGTGGTTAGGCCAAATGAGTCAGCTTAGTACTTATTTATTTATTTTCCAAAGAGCAGCTCAGCCCCGAGGAGCATAAAATAGGTGTTTCAGTGGATGGTATTCATGAGTCAGTGCAGTTCCCCATACTGTGACAGGATTAGGTTCTTATTTATTTATATATTCAGTTAGTTAATAAGTTATGAATGAATGAATGACAAAGTCTCACTCTGTTGCCTTGGGTAGAGTACAGTGGTGTCATTGTACCTCACTGCAACCTCAAACTCCTGGGCTCAGGCGATCCTCCTGCCTTATTAGCCTCCTAAGTAGCTGGGACTACAGATGCACACTACAACACTCAGCTAATTTTTCCATTTTTAGTAGAGATGGGGTCTCGCTCTTGCTCAGGCTGATCCTAACTCCTGAGCTCAAGCAGTCCTCCTGCCTCAGCCTCCCAGTGTGCTAGGATTACAGCCACCATGCCTGGCCAGGATCTAATTGATTTAAAAGACAAAAGGGATTAAGTGCAATGTCTTCCTTCTATTCTGTCTTCAATGAGTGTTTCTGTTTTCTTAATTTCTTCATATATAGTTGAATAACATATTCTTCATGTAATGCCCTAACTCACAAAGAGAAACAGAAGTTCTTTTAGGTTGAGATAACTGATGATGAAAGTGATGACCTTAATGCTTTAAGTATTTGGTTCTTTGAAGTCTTTATCAGTGATTTCAGTTATTGTGTTCCCTTCACTAGATTTAATATCAGAGGAACAACAATAGGTGATAGAATAATGAGGTAATTCAGTATATTCCTTCATTATTTTATTTTTTCTTTATG